CAATAGGGTCTAGAGAAAGATTTGTATCTTTTGAATTTTGATGAAACTAAACTGTTTGCAAATCAAAACTGGGCAGATTTGTTCATCCATATTTAGCATTCAAGATTTTTCGTCTGAGAAATTCATTGTTTAATGTGTTTTACCAGGACTTGGGATCACATAATTCATTTCATTTCTAGCTTTTCAACATGTTTAGATTGTCACAGGCTGGTATTTGATAGTGGAGTTATATATGAATGACATATAGGTTGCAGTTTGACATAAATAAGTCTGTGCATTTGATTTAATCCTAAAAAAGATGCCTAGAACAGCATTTGTTCAAGGCAATGTCCACTGTGATCTTTTTGCAAGTAAAGCTGGTGAAGAATGCAATGAATATCTTGCACTTGCTGGTCATGGCTTGATTCACCCACTAATGAACATGCTGCCATGCACTAAAAAATATAGCCCTTTAGTACATTGAACTGCGTGTTCTATGGTTTACCTCTTTTGACTTCTGATAGCATTAGTGTGAGCTTTAACTAATGTAAGCTGTTTCATGCAGCAAGATGTAGACCCCCCCCCCAACTACCACTGTGATTACTGAATACAGCAAGTTATGTGGCAAAATGGCCTCCTCAGTTAGTCGTTTGAAAACACAAAAAATGCCAGCTCTCCCACTTAATAAAATGACAATTGTTAGTACATTCCCTGTTAAAACCAGTAGCACATGTCGATGCTTATACGTTTCTTAAATATACACACCCTTGCTCATAGCAAAAAAGTGTCTTGCTTGTGATTCATAATAGCCCTTATTCTCCAAAGTATAGTAAAAACTTTATTATTTCTTTGGAGGTGGGAGCAGGGATCTACATATTGTGGAGAAAAATCAGAATCTTGGATTGACTAAACCTACGACTGCTCATCCATAACTAAAGGGTTTTTTATTCTTAAAGTGACTCTAAGCTCAAAAGATAAATCTTAAAAATGCATTCAGCTACCCTCACTGTTAACAAAAATGTAGCCTATTTGTGTATCACTTGGCTGTAGATCCTCAAGTCATTTCTGAATGTGTGCTGACACTGTCCTTCCTTCTGGAGGGTGGCACTGTGTATGTTGTAAAGTAGCCACCGCTTCAAGTTCACTTTTGTTATAGACTACACTCTCAAGTTTAGTTCACTGATGTGTATTGAGATTTGCCATATTTGGAACATAGAAGGCTTGTTAATTTCCCATGCTCTAAGTGGCCAGTTGTGGCAATTTAGGAAATGCTATCATTATAGCAGTTAGATAAATCAAGCCTCCATAGTGCTGAAAGTAAATCTAGGAACCTCCTGTTGATGTCACCAATTTATAGGGCTAAATAACAGTTTTTTGACTCTATTTTTTTGCTATTGCTATTTTCTTTTTTGTATCTGTTCTTAGTGCTCCAATGATGAGCCAAATAACCTGGACACATTTATCCAGAGTAGGACTAAGAGTACTAGCCTGTGCATGCACAGTGGGAAAACACTCCGCTATCACAGATTTTTTTGTAGCACATATTTTAATGCACATCTCTGTTTTAATAACAGGTTACCTATACAGGAGGAGGTTTCAGTGTTTTTTCCCCACTTTTTCTATGCCCCTTCACTGCTCTAATCTGCTGTCAGAGCACCCCAAAGTTTTGTGTAATATTTGATGTTCTAAGAAAGTTAAATCCTACACATTAAATGCTTTCAATACCATTACTGTCGCATTATAGTGCTCAGGCCTGATAATTAGCCACTCATGCTCTGCATTGGGGGAAGAAGTGTCACATATACATTTATACATGGAAATAATGGGTATTTCTCTGGACTTTGACAGCATATGGATGGCAGAGCATGCTACTTGAAAGCTGCTGATAGTGGCTTCTGTAAAATCCAACAGACTTTACATCTACAGTCACAGAAACACAGGAAGGGGAATTTATCAAAACTGGAGCAGACAAAATCTGGAACAGCTGTGCACGGCAACCAATCAGCTTCTCTCTGTCATTTTCAAATCTTCACTGAACAAACTGAAGCTGCTCCAGATTCTATCTGCTCCAGTTTTGATAAATTCCCCCCCATGGTGTTCAAATACTAGATATTAGAAATATAAAATATTAGAAAACATTACTTTTAATTATATTTGAGATGATATGAAGTGAAGTGAAGGTAAATTTGCATATAGAATTTCATCTTGGCTTTCAAGTGTACCTGTGGGCTCCACAACACCTTTTAGTTCAGCTGCATGATCATGATGATGATAGTGCAGACACCTCTAGATGGCTGCAAGCACATTTTGTTAATTTTTAGAATGACCGAGTACGCTAACATGAATGCAAAGAGCAACCAGACTTCCTTCTTGTTTTCCTATTGGCCACTAAAACATAACAGGTGGTCTCACTATTCAATAGAAAGTCGTGGCGAGCGGGAAAGGAATGGCTGCAGTGTAGTCATGTGAGTTGTGATCCTGGAGACACCTGCAGTATCATGCTGAATTAACAAGTTTCACATTGGAAAGTGGTGTGATTTTATTGAGAAATCTTTAAAAGTTTTACTTATAGTTTGAAAAAAAATCTGTAAGAGTTTTTGTTGTTTTCACACTGTGTAAAATACCTTGTGCACTAATACTGTCTAAGTCAGTAAATCTGGAAGAATTTATTTTGCAACAGAGAGGTAAACCTCTAAATCAATGTGTTATCCTCTGTTCCAGCAATACATTCTTTATTCCCGGAATGTTGTATTGCATTGTAAAATTCCCAAGCGTTTGGGATCAATTCTTTTCACTCAGTGCAATCACACAGTCACAACAGAAGTAAAAGACCAAGGGGAATTTAATTCAATATGTTTTGTTTGATAAACAATTTATTTTTTATATATTGTAAAGGAAAACAAAAAAATGTAACTCATACTGTATTAATTGCCCTATATTGTACATATTAGATTTTGTGACCAAAATAACGTTCATATTAA